TGCGCAGTCTGAGTTCCAGCGCAAAGTTTCTGGGGGGGCTGCGCGCGCGGCCGCGGCTGGCAATTCAGGTAATTCGGGGAAGGTCGACCCTGCGATGAGCCAGGGAGCGGAGATCATGCGTCTTCTCGGTGGGGGCGTTTGCCTCTGACCAGGGTTCGATATTCCGATGCCCAATGATCTTGGCACCCAGCCCCCGCCCCCCGCTTCGGCAACCGAAGTCGGGCCCCAGGGCGATGTCGTTGATCCGTCGCCTGTGGAGCTTCGCGTGCCCAAGGATGCTTGGTCTCGGCGTGGAGCTGAAGTTGGGCATGCGCCTGGTGCCCAATGCCCCCCTCATCCCTCGGCCCTCTCCTCCGCGGCCGTTCGGCTAATTAACCAGGGGCCCTGTTCGTAGAGCCAGTTCTCTGCGTGTTTCGCGGGCGCGACCCGTGGGAACTTCAGTGCGCGAGCACCGGCGCGATTGCCAGGACATCCGAGCACTGGGTCCACATTCCGAGAGGGTGTTGCAAGCCATTATGCGCGGCATCGCGCGGCAGGTTCACGCGATTGGATTGCAGGCTGGCGGGCTCGCCCCCGCGCGCTCCTTCACAGTTTAGGGCGCCACTCGCTGCGACGGGCCAGCAGCAGGCAGAGAGAATTCTTATTCGCATCGATTGGAGAGCTAGCCTCGGAGCGCCCAGAGCAGGCGCAAACGGGGTCACGAGCGCGCGCGCAACGCCGCGGCGATCCACCGTGGCGTAGGCGGCAGAGATTTTTCAGACGAGTCCATGTTGCGGACAAGGGTGAGATTGAGATGTTTGTTGAATGTTCAGGCCGTGTGACCAGCAGATGTCAACGGCGTGGTTTGGCGGCTTCTCTTCGCGAGCATGGCGATTGGATGGAGTCGCCCACGGCCCTTAGGAGGCTCCACGAGGTCATCGGGGATAATCCGCCGGAGCTGGGCGATGTCACGATCATGCGCCCCAAGGATGTGATCGACCACAACCAGGCGGCCAAGCGGCGCAAACTGCGGTGCCCCATTCAGCGAGGTGAGTGAATGCGTTTTGTTTCGGCAGGCCAGGGAGCGGGGGCAGCTTGATATTCTCCCCGAGATCACTGGCGAGATGGTTCGTGCGCCAGCCCATCGCATGCGACCGCGAGCTGGGATGGGAGCTGGCCAAATGTCGCCTCTTGATTTCGAGAGGCTACCACCAACGGCCCTGGACGAGCTTGCTCAGTGATATATGGTGCGCGAGCAGCAGGTGGCGTGGCCCTACCAGGTGCCGGTGACCCTCGGGGGGCTGCTCCCCAAGAAAGGAGGCGGCGACCGCGCCATCGGCTTGCTGACGACCTTCGCCAGGATATGGTCGCTCACCCGCGAGCCCGTCGCGGGCGACTGGAGCGGGGCGACGTCGGCCCACTGGGGCGCGGCGGCGCAAGGCAATGCATCCTTGAGAGAAGCGTTTGTTAGGACACCTCAGGAGGAGGCCGCGCAGGTGTTGCGCATTCAGTCGGGCCACGGTTTGTTGGATATCGATCGCGCTCGTTGGCAAGTTCTTCTGTCGAATGGTTTGAAGTTGGGTTTTCCAGCAACAGCGTTGTGTCTTGAGGTTTCGCGGCGCATGTCAGCGCGCGCGCTGGGTCAGCCAGGGGCGTGGACATTGCCCTTCATTCCGACGCGATCCATCGCGCAGGGCCGTCGCTCTGGCACGCGCTTTGCGCATATTGTTGCGCGCTTTACTTCGCAGTGCACTTGCGCGGTCCACCCACGGGCGCGGCGCAGAATATGGGTAGATGACTCGTCGCAACGTGTAGTTGGGTCCAAAGTTTCAGTTGTGAGTGACCTCATTCAATGTCTCAGAGATGCCTGTCGGGGTCTCGCTAGACTGCATCTTCGCGCGGCGCAAAAGAGCGTCGCGATGCATTCGGTTTGCAGGGGCGCAGTCACAGCGTCGAGCCCAGAGGCGCGCGGGCTCCACGGTCAAGGCTCAGAGCGCTGCTGCGCATTCGGGCACGGACCTGGGCAATGGGAGTGCGCGCGCGAGGGCCACGCGCAGGACGCGGTCTCAGAAGTGCAGTAGAATGCGCGGGAATACTCGGAGGCGCAAGGCTGCGGGGCGAAGGCGCCAAATCACGCCCAAGCTGGAGAGGCTCGGAGCGCCGGCTGCTGGGTCCTGCGCCTGCCAGATCCACGGGGTCTTCGGCACGTACCTCACCACCTCTCGGCGCAGGTTGGGCGCCGCAGCGGGGGCGACGGCCAAGGACAGGTGTCTCGCCGCGCTCACCGGCCGGAAGACCCCCGCGGACCCAGCGCTGCGCATGCCAGAGGAGTGCGCGAGGTTGCGGTTCCGCATGTGGCAGCAGCAGCCTCTGCTGAGAGCGGGGGCGCATGGGGCGTGACGCGGTGGTCGCTCGCCTGCGAAGGGTTGAGCCGAACCATCGCTCGCGCCGCATTCGCGGACCGCTGTCGGCGATGGCGGTGCTCCTGCTGGACAACGGCTGGGATCCGCAGTCCGCCATCTGCTGGGCCATGTCGCCCACGGAGTCGGGGGAGGTCATCGAGTGGCACGTTCACGACGCGGCGTGGACAGGCTTCGTGGACGTCGACGCGCCGTCGGGGCTGGCGAACGATCTGAGAAGTTCTATTTCGACCAAGTTGTGGAAGAAGGCTGCCGTGCACAACTGTGGGCTGGGGGCCGAGCGCAGCGTGGACATGGCGTCGCCGCGCAGGCTCCACCAGCAGTTCTCCGGCACCCCGCAGGGCCACCGCATGGCGGAGGTGCTGAGCATGGCGGCCACCGGCGGCAGCTGGCCGAGAGATCGGCGAGTGGATGCTGCAGGTGCCAAGGCGTTGGGGCCGTTGCGCCTGCGCCCTGGGCGTGGGCAGCAGGCCGGGACCGCGTTCCATCGGAGCTGGGGCTGCCCCAGGAACGCGGGATCGTCAGCGCGGGGCGGCTCAGAGAGTTGCTTCCGCAGGCCAACTGCAGGCACGACAGCGAGCAGTCTTAGTTATTGGTTGCGGGGTTTACTACCGGCGAGATGGACCGAGGTGATTCCGCCACGGGAGCATGAAGAATGGCACGTTTCATGAGCAGCAGCAGGCAGTCTCGAGGGCCTCTCGCTTGGGCGCGGGATCGAGCGGAGGCCGCCGCGGCTCTTCCCGGACGCCAGCAGCGGCGCCGACTCGGCCGACAGCAGGTTCAGGCGCGTCGGCCTGGCAGTCGTCAGCGCGAGCAGCTTCGACCCCCTGATCCTCGATGGGGCGGTTTCAGGGGGTCTCCCAGTCTCACAGGGGCTGGGCAGAGCGCCGCCAGGGGAGAGCTGGTCGCGTTGCTGGTCGCCATCAAGATGTCCAGTGGCCACGAGCCTTTCGTCACGGACAACAGCGGAGTCGCAGACGGCTGGTATTCGCGCAGGTATGTATCTCCTTGCGGCGAGGATGCCGATCTGCGGCATAAGATCGGAGTGGCTCTGGCCGGTCGCAGGTTGTTTGCCGATTCACATTTGTCACCGACACAGATGGTACGAGGAGTTGCGCCGTGGCAGTTGATTGTTGGCAATGCAGTAGTTGATGGAATGGTGGCAGGAGCGGCTCGCCGTGTCAGGCTTGCCGAGACCGAGAGAGATCGAGCGCGCAGGCTCGAGAAGGAGGTGATCAGATACTGTTCAGATTAATCAGAGCTATACTTGATGCTCTGGAATCCGAGATTGAACTATTGCAACAAGAAGAACCGCTGAGGACAATAGAGGAGGCGCGTGGGCCACCGCCCCCCCCCCGCCCCCTCTGTGCGCAGGCAGTTTGCAACCAGTCATGCTCTCGATGAATCCGGCCAGCGTTGTAAGATGTGCTATAGCTCTTGCTCTAAGGCTGCCAAAGCTCAGCGCATTGCATCCCCGTGTTTCAGACCCGATCCTGTTGATGGTAGGTTCTCTGCGTCGCCGTCGGGGGTGACTTTACATATGTGGGGGGGTCTGGGTACATGGTAGTCACAGAATGATTCTGCACCAATTCATGGGGCTCTCGTTTTGCTCACAGTGCGGGCATTATGCCAGATATGTCCTCAGGTGTCTGGGTCAAGAGTGTCCCAGACGAACGAATAGGAACCGAGCCGAGTAATTGTTTAAATCTGATCGAATCCGATCGATGGCCGAAGGCTTGAAGCAAGGCCGAGACGCTCGCTCGCCAGCGCTCGCAGTTCGTTCCGACTCGCACCGCGACTGTTCTCACTCACTCACTCCTCTTCCTCCTCGTCCTCTTCCTCCTCCTCCTCCTCCTCCTCCTCCTCCTCCTCCTCTCCCTCCGCCTCCATATCCTCCTCCTGCTCCTCCTGCTCCTCCTCCTCCTCCTCCTCCTCCATCTCCTCCTCCTCGTCCTCCCTCCTCTTCCTCCTCCTCCCCCTCCTCCTCCTCGTCCTCCTCCTCCTCGTGGATCTGCCCCAAGTGGATGATATATATATATATATACATATACATACACATATACATATACATATACAGATATACATACATATGTGTGTATATGTACATATATATATATATATATATATATAGACCCCGTCACCCTACGAGGAGGAGCTGCTGCGCGAGCAGGAGCCTGCTGCAGAGGCCCCCCCGCCGCGCCGGCAGGCCCTCCCGCGTGCGCTGCTCGGTCTGGCCCTGCTGGCGGCGTGCTGCGGCGCGGCGCGGGCGCTCTCCGGCGCGGCAGCGCACGGCGCGCCGCGGAGCTCGTCCCTGAGGTTATGATGTTCCAACCTGCGCATTGTTCAGTTCTAAATCCTCGGACCAATTATCAGAGCGTGAATTACCTACCCCGCTTTCGCTTCCAGGCAAAACCAAACCATACCACGCGCCTCCTCGTCAAGCGGCCTGACCAGTACAGGCCGCAATTTGGCATCGTTTGGTATCTCTTGGAAGCGAGGGTGGTCAAAAGCGAGGTAGGTTTGTTTTCCCCCTATGTTCAGCTCTAGCTCTTCGGACCAATTAGAAACGAGCACAGTTAGAGATGAGCACGATGAGAAATGAACGACGTGTACTTCCGAGCCTCGATCACCAGACAGATTTTCGAGCACCAGGAAACGTGCCGAGGCTTGAGGGTTTTCACGTGTGTGGCCCTGGGAGGCGATGTTCGTCCGACACTGTTCGGATCCTTTTCTTGGAGGCTCGAAATTAGTTTTGCGGATGTGGTCCGTAAGTACGATGGGAGCAACATAACCCTGAGGGGGGCCCAGCAGAAGAACTTCTGGAATGATGTGCTGTACCAGGCGTCGGCTAGACTCGAAGAAGAAAACACGCCACAAAAGCATATAAAATTGGGGCGCTCCGCGCGGACCTCTTCGATCCGTGCTGGGCCCCCCCACTGGCAGCGCCTCGGGCGCTGCCCCTGGCGCGCTCCGCGCGTCAGGGAGGGGGTCTGGCGCAGATCCAGAAAATCCGCGCAGAGCGCCACAAGTTCATATCATAACGTTGTTTCCCCTTCTATAGACACAAGAGTGACCCTTCGCCGGAGTGACCTTTCGTCCGGGCCCACCGGGGTCTCCCGAGGGCCGAAGGCGAGGCGGCAGTGGCGTCTTGTGCGCTTGTGTGTTGGCCCCCTCTCCGGCGGCCCCCAAGAAGCCGCGCACAAAAGGTCACTCTTACCTGGGGTCACTCTTGCGTGTAGCCGACAGGCGGGCTTTGGCAGTGATGACAAGGAGCCCGTGTCCATCCCCGACGCGCCCACAAAGGACGATATCATGGAGGGCCTGAAGGATTCCGTTGGCGGCGTGGACGAGGAGACAGCGGAGAATCTCAAGGAGAACATCCAGGATATGGCAGATGAGGCCCAGGAGAGTGCGGGCGATGCCAAGGAGACGATCAAAGGCGCGGTCGAAAACAAGATGGACGACGCGAAGTCCAGCATGGAGAAAGTCAAGGGCAACCTCGAGGACGCCAAGAAGGGCGCCGAGTCCAGCGTGAGCAGCATCAACAAAGACGTCGAAGCCAGCATGCCCGACATCCAGGGCAAGTTGGGCAGCGCGGCTGCCGCGTGCAAGGACGCCGGCGTGCCCTGCCCCGACGTGGAGAAGGCGCGGAGCAAGGTCGAGGAGGCGAAGGCGGGCGTCGCCGATGCCAAGGAGAAGCTCGAGGGTGCCGTCGCGGACCACGCCGGTGCAGACAACATCAAGGAGGTTCGGCAGCCTTGAGACGGGGGCCATGCAAACGGGGGTCAGCCAGAGCGCCCGATCTGGCAGGATCCTGCAGGGCCAGGATCGTATTGACCCGGGTTTGGGTGCAGGATCCTGCAGGGTCTTGCAGGATCCTTCGCATTGACCCGGGTTTGGGTGCAGGATCTGTCTGGATTGACCCTGGTCAGAAGATCCCCGAGAGGTCGAGGGCAAGGTGGAGGACGCCAAAGAGGAAGCCGAGGAGGCCAAGGGCAAGCTGGACAGCGGCTTCAAGGGCGGCCTTGCTTCCACGGGCTCATCGGAGGACAAGGTCAAGGAGGGCGTCGCCCAGGTCAAGAGCGAGCACGATGCGGCCGGCAGCGCCGAGGAAGAACTGCTGGGTGCGAGGACGAAGCTCGGCAGCGCCAGCGACGACGTCAAGGGGATGTCCGACAAGATCGACGACGCGAAGAAAACGGTGGGCGACGCGGCGGGCGAGCTCAAGGGGAAGGTCGAGGACAAGATGACAGACGCGAGCGACGCCCTGGAGAGCGCCAAGGGTCAGCTCGAGGACAAGCTCAAGAACACAGACGGCAAGGAGAGCGGGGAAGGACCTTCAGCTGTTCCAGACGCTGCCGCAGACGCGGTGGACACGGGCGACGCCCCGATCGATAAAGACAAAGCGAAGGAGGCGCTCAGAAACGTCGAGGACGCGCAGTCGAAGTTGGAGGGCGTGAAAGAGAAGGTTGACAAGAACGCGGAGGGCATCAAAGAGAAGGTTGCGGGCAAGCTAGACGAAGCCAAGGGCAACGCGAAAGACGTCGGCGAGAGCCTGATGGATTCGCAGGGTGGCATCAAGGGCGTAACCGACAAGCTCGCCGGCTGTAAGAAGACGCTCGAGGACGGGTTACAGAACAATGTGGATGAAGTGAAGGGCAACGTGGTGGATACAGTGAAAGAGAATGCGGGTGACAAGGTGGGTGATACGGTAAAGGAGAAGTTGGACCAGATCAAGCCCCCCCGATGAGCGGATTTGAGTTTCCGTCCGTCTGCTTCCTCCCCAGCGTTTTATCTATACCAGCAGAGGCCTATAGGGGGAACTGGCCGAAATACCAGTCGCCCCCTCCTTGGGCTGGGTCGACTGCTCAGCTGTAGGGGTGGTAGCGTGACTTCACTTCGCGATCGGCCCTGCCCTACCCTATCCTTCTCTCTCTCTCTCCTTCTTTCCCTCCCCCCTCTCTCTGTCCTGCCTTATCCTTCTCTCTCTCTCTCTCCTTCTTTCCCTCTCTCTCTATCTCTTGTGCTGAAGACTCAGACGCAGCACCGAACTGGGATAGTTGATTCAACCCACGGCGGGCACCAAAGCCTTCCCTCCGGCGCCAGTCGTGGGACCGCGGCTCGCCCACAGGTGACGGGCTCCATTGTTTTTGTTGTCACTGCGGGTGTGCAGTAGAAAAGGAAAAAACAGCCATAAGCATAAATGTTTGGCGCTCCGCGCGGATTTCTTGGATCCGCGCTGGGCCCCCAAACGGCGGCGCCTCGGGCGCCGCCTCCTGGCGCGCTCCGCGCGCCAGGGAGGGGGTTGCCCAGCGCGGATCCGAGAAGTCCTCGCGGAGCGCCAACAGTTTATGTGCATGGCGTTTTCTCTTCGATGCAGGCTCCTGCCGCGTGACACCGCAGCAGATCTCCATCGGGGCTGGACGGAGCTCCCACCCCGACAAGTCGATTCGTGAATTGTCCGCTTTCGGTTCTCGAGAGGGCGCCGCGGCCGTCATGGTCCTGGCTTGCGCCCGCCAGGTTTGGGCCCGAGGCCGATGTCATTAAACCACGTTTTACCCAAGGGATTTCTGTCCATCCCCGACTTTACTGCTTCAGAACAACTTCTCTGTAGCATGCGCCTCCCGTCCCGTTGCGGCAGTAGAAGAGTCATGGGTAGCGTGTGCGGTCTCGTGATGATGTGTGGAACGAGAGGGAGGCGGCAACCAGTTGGCAGGGGGACTCGTGCCCGTGGCCGCACAAAGTGGGACGCGGCCGTAGGCCGAGCGCGGGCTCCGCAGGACAGAGCAGTGTCAACCTCGCGCTCGCGCCCGGATCAACAAAAAAGAGAGGCACAATCCAACATGCTGCGTCGTAGGAAGCGCGGGCCCGGGTCCACTGGACTTTTGGGCTGGCCACGTGCCAGGGTTGGCTTTCAGACACATCCGTCTCAAGGTCCTGCGAGAAGAGCGCTCGCGAACTCGAGCCGGATCACCTGGAACACGTGCATGTCCTTCAGGTCAGGGACACCGAATCGAGGGAGCAGCTAACTCAGGCGTTTTTGCTGCCAAGCTTCTGTCTCTGAAGACCCGCTTCGGGTCCTGGGGCCAACAGGAAGCAACTGGTCGAGACATCGGTCCCAGAGATCCCCCCCTCCGACGTCGCATTTTTTTCGTGACGTCGGCCACCGGGGTCTCGACCCGTTCCCCGGGACCGGCTTTTCGTCTTGAGTTGTGGCTTGATGGTCCTGGGGCAGAGACGGCCTCCGGAAGCCAAATCAACACACGCAATGCTTGTCTCTGCCAGGCCCGGAGTTGAGGCAGGGTGTCGGGAGGGCGAAGGCTGGCTCGGGGGGGTGGGGACGTCGACCCCAAATCTCTAGGCCTCCTAGATGGGGTTGGAGCAGAGGAGGTCGGAGGATCGCGCCGCATCGCCGATGCATCGGCGGTGCATCGGCGATGCGGCTCGATGTGGAGCCCGATTTTCTCCACGCCGACGTCGCCAGTGTACCGACGACGTCGCCAGTGCATGGCCGATGCATCGCCGATACATCGGCGATGCATTGGCGATGCGGCCCGATCCTTCGACCCCATCTACTTCGACCCCATCTAGGAGGCCTCGAAGGTTGGCTCGGGAGAAGGGGGACGTCGACTTCAAATCGCCCCTTCCACAGCGCCGATCCAAGGCTCGGGTGCCCCGCACGGCCCCCGAGCGAGCGGTGCTCCATCCGACGAGCCCCCTCGCCGATGCATCGGACGTGTCGTCGATTCAAGGCCTAAGTCGGGCCTGTCCTTATACAGGAGGAGTATTCAAAAATACTCAAGAAATAGTATGTGGATGTTTTTGTTTACCATTTTGCCTATTTGGGTTTTTTGGGGTGGTATTTTCATTTCTCGTCCAAAATCCGCCTGTAGGGGGACACGCCCGACCTAATTCAAGGCCGATCTGTCCCCCCCCTCCCCGAGCCAGTCCCCCCACCTCCGGTTCCCCGCGTCAGAATGTTCAGACCAAGCAGGGAATGTGTCAGGCTTGGCGTGAGCTAGAGCACGGGGGAGGCCATGCGTGCTTAGCGTCTTTGCCTCCCCCCCCGTCCCCTTGTGCGATCTCGGCGCCGTGTTCAGAACAGCGCGCGGGCGCCAGAGATGGTCTGGGCGGCTCGTCCATCCACACGTCGGCACCTGTCCGGGGGCAGCCTGCAGCGAACCGCACCGGGCGCGGAGCTGGGAAGGACCTTTGTGGGCCCCGAAAACGGCAGGGCCGTTCTTTCACCGTTTCCAAAAAAATGCCCCTTGAACATGGAAACGGCAAAAACACGGCGACCGGAAACAGCAAAAAAACGGCTCTGGGATTGGAACTGGAGCCGGAACCGGTAAAAAAACGGCGACGGAACCGGTAAAAAACAGCGCCGGAATTGGCAAAAAAAAAACGGCAAAACGGAACCGGTAAAAAAACGGCCTTGTCGTTTCCAGGGCCCACCCTGACTCCGGATCCGCCCTACTTTGGGGAAATTCGTAAGTGGGGCTTGGAATTTCCGCCTTACTTTTCAAGCCCCGCTGATGCCAATTTCCGCCCTACTTTTCTGTTGCTGTTTCTGTGGATTTCCGCCCTATTTTATGTTGGGTGCAGCAATTTCCGCCCTACTTGTTCGGCCTCTTATAGGTGGATTTCCGACGCAATTTTAAGTTGGAAAAAAAACCGAAGTAAGGCGGATCTGGAGTCAGGGCGGGCATGTCCTTCTACAGGCGGGCTTTGGAGGAAGAATGGAAAATAGCCCAAACATATTCAGAGATAGTCAAACAAATAATCGAAAAATCGTCTCCTGACTACTTTTTCTTGAGTTGTCTCCCTGTAGAGGGACAGGCCCGACTCAAGCCCAGGGCCGCTTTTGCGTGTGGCCGAAGAGAGCGCCCCGGGCTGCCTGCGGGCGCCTCTCCGTGCACGGTGGACCCGTCTAGGCCTCCTAGATGGGGTCGGAGTAGATGGGGTCAGGATCGCCCCGCATCGCCGATGCATCGGCGATGCGGCTCGATGCGGCGCCCGACTTGCTGCACGTCGACGTCGCGGATGCATCGCCGACGTCGCCAGTGCGTGGCCGATGCATCGCCGAGGCATCGGCGAGGCAGCGCCGACGTATCCGCGATGCGGCGAGAGCCTCCGACCCCGTCCACTCGGACCCGATCTAGGAGGCCTCTAACCCGAGGGGCGCTGCGCGTGCACGCGCCACCCCGCCCCGAGCACGGCCCTGCGGTGCCGCGCGAGGCCTCTTCGGGCCCCCCCCCCCCTTCGGCGCGGCCGCGTGTGCCGCCGCGGGGCCGCGGCGCCGCACTGGTCTGCACCTGGGGCTCCCGGGTGGGGGTCGGAGTTCCCGGCCCCCCGCGAGCAATGAAAAATCGGAGGCGGTGTTTCTATCCCAACCCCCGGTTTACGACGAAAAATGAAGCGGCTAAGAGAAGGAGGGAAACTCTGGGATACACCCCCAGGGGCTATTCGGACGCAAACCTATCGAGGATGAACGCTCCCCCCCGTATATCCCAGGGTTGGCCCCCAAATTTTTGGTCCACTCGGGAACCCCACCAAGCCTGGGATAGGGGTCAACACATCCCATGTTTAAAAAGTCACGACGGAAGGTTTTTCGCCCTTTTCGGCCCCTGGGGCCCTTACCAGGCCTCGGGGCCATCAAAAACGAATCAAGAATTTGAAACATACCAACTTGTAACCCAATGGATGTCGGAAGCCGAATCGCCCCGAAAGTCTCCAGGAAAATTGCCAATAATATGAACTTCGAAAAATCGTATCTGGTAATTCGATGCGTTCTGAAACTTGGGTTACTCAGGGTGGGAGACCGGTCCTGGGGAAGAGGTTCAGACCTTGGGGGGTCGACGCAATGAAAAGGTCATGACGTCGGGGGTCTAGGTAGTTGGGGTTGGAGGATCGCGCCGCATTGCCAACGCATCGGCGAGGCGGCTCGATGTGGGGCCGAATCTGATCCACGCCGGCGTGGCCGATGCAACGCCGACGTCGCCGGCGCATCGCCGATGTATCGGCGATGCGGCGAGATCCTCCGACCCCAGCTACTCTTAGGTCGGGCATGTCCCCCTACAGGCGGATTTTGGACGAAAAAGAAGAAATACCCCAGCAAAAATTCAAAACATGTCAAACATATGCCAAAAATAGTCCCCATACTATTTTTTGACTACTTTGGAATATTCTTCCTGTAGAGGGACAGGCCCGACTTAAATCTACTCGGAGCCCGTCTAGGAGGCCTCTACTGCAGCAGGTCGGGCCTACTCCAGGCGTTTGCCGCGACTCCATGCCTGCATTCGTGCTGGATGCTCGCTGCCGCCTTCACCCGCGAGGGTGCCATGGCCCCGAGGCCCGAGAGGGGCTTCGGAGTTGGTGGACACGGGGAGGCGGAGAACACGCACAGTGAGCCGGACTGCGGGATGCGGAACGAACACACGGTGAGTTGGACGCCCGAAATGGGTATTGAAAGAATGGGTACGATGCCCAACAGCAGTTCCTGTTCATTCTGAACAGGACTCGCTGTCCGCGCCGCCGCGGCCTGTGTTCCTTCGAGACAGAAGGCCGCCTGCCCAACAGCGGCCGCTGTTGGTTCGGGACAACATTTGTTGTTGGGCATGTTGCCCATTCTTTCGGTACCCATTTCGGGTGTCCAAAGGTGAGTTGGGCAGGTGGCTGCGGAAAACGCACGCGGTGCGCCGGACGAGAGGCTGTGGAGCAGCAGCGTCATGGGCAGCGTCCGAACGCGTCCAGCTCACGGGGCAGCGTCCGAGAGCTCGGTCTCGTCGTGGTGTTCTGCCACGGTGCCGAGGGTCGGCCCTCGACCGGCAGCCTCCCGTCCGCAGCTCCGCAGCTCTCGCCTCGGGGGCCACTCGCGGGGCACGGGAGCCGTCACGACATTTCCAAATCGGGCGTCGCGTGATGGGGGGGGGCGATACCGGGGGGGGGGGAGGGGTGCAGCGAGGGCTGCAGAAGAGGCCCCGTAGGGCCCAAGAGGGAGATTCTGAGGCCCGAGAAGTGCACCGTTCTTCTCCCCTCCCCCCCCAGTTGATCGCCCCCCCCATTGAGCGACGCCCAACCAAAGCCGTCTGGGAGTTCAGTCCCCTTGAAGGAACGAGGAGGAAGAGCAGGAGGCGAGGAAGGAGGATGAAGGGAGGATGAGGGATGAGGTAGAGACGAGGGAACAGGAAAGCGGAATGATGGGAGGGACGAGGGGACAGAAACGTGGGAGGCGGGAAGACGGAGACAAAAAGGAGTTCAGGTAACATGGTTGTGGGCCGCCTCGACCCCGTTGGTGGGCCCGGTCCCCTGGCGTCACCACCCCGGAGGGCGCTGTGGCCCGACGGAACAAGATCATCTGGCGTGCGGCGCGCCTTGGATTGAGCAATTCTCTGCTGTGCGGCGCACCCTGATGAACAAGTCCTCCGGTGCGCAGGAGGAGGGGGGGAGGAGGAGGAGGAGGAGGAGGAGGAGGAGGGGAGGGAGAGGAGGAGGAGGAGGAGGAGGAGGAGTAGGAGGAGGAGGGGGGGAGGGAGGAGGAGGGAGGAGGAGGAGGAGGGAGGAGGAGGGGAAGGAGGGAGGAGGGAGGAGGAGGAAGGAGGAGGGGGAGGAGCAGCAGCAGAGGAGGAGGAGGAGGAGGAGCAGCAGCAGCAGCAGCAGCAGCAGGGGGAGGAGGAGGAGGAGGAGGAGGAGCAGTAGCAGCAGGAGAAGGAGGGGGGAGGAGGAGGACGGAGGGCTGAGCGCCGAGCGTGGATGCGGCATGGAGGAGGAATGGGGCGGAGGGAGGAGGGAAGAAGGACGGGGGAGAAGGGCGGAGGGCGCATTGAGCAGGGACGGGGGACGATGGAGAAAGAGAGAGGAGAAAT